TGTTTTTTACTTTTTAACCACCATTGAAATCTTACTTTAAACCAATTTCAATTTCCCATAACAATCTTTTTTATTTTCTTCCATTCGCTTACATTTTATTGAATAAAAAGATAATATTAATTATTATTGGTCCTATTATAAAAAAAACAATAATTACTAATTTTTGTCTAAAAAATAAGAAATAAGCATTTATTTTTATATACATTCAAATTTTTCTGTATTCTTATTTATTTTGAAATATGTATAAATAAGGCATTCTCTTATTACTTTTTTTTTTGCGTATCTCTTATTACTTTTTAAAGTACATAAATTTATTCATTTAATATATGAGTTATAAGTTTGATAATTTATCATCAAAGGTATTTTTAAAATATACTATAACTTTATTATCTATAATTACTTTTTTATTAATTTTAATAAATTATTTATTTTTTCTTATAAAAAGGAGTGAAAAGAATATTATTTTCTTTGTAAAAACTATTAAAATGATGAATATATATATCATATTAAATTGTTGAAGTTTTGAATTAAATATTGCATCTAATCAACTTAAATGACCCGCCGGTGACTGGAATGTAAAAAATGTTAATATTTTTACCGCATCACATTTCTCAACAAGTGATGTTAGTGGCCACAATTGAAAACTACATCCTACGTGCAAATAAGGGAATATATCTAAAGTTTTCATACATAAATAATTTATTTATTATTAACTTGATACACTTTTGAATGTCTTTTTTGTTATAGTTACATAAAAGAATTTGAAAAAATAAAAAAATATATAATATCAATTTTTAGTAATTCAAACAAAAGTAACTGTTAAAGATAAACTGAGACATTGAGCAATTCTACCATGGACATGCATGTTAAACAATCATATACCAAATAGAAACTAAGACATCCCTAATCTATAATCAAATAAATAGATATTTTATCCACAGTTTACATATATTTTTAGTTAAAAAATATTTTTTATTTAGTTTTAGTTTTTATAATTTTTTTTGTTTTATTTTCTATTTAAAAGATTATTAGTTTTAGACTTTTAGTCTTTAATAATTGTTTAATAATGGTTTGACAAACTTAAGTATTATTGAATGTTAATTTTGTATATGTGTCACTTTTACGTAAACTCACAAATAAAAAAAACTTAAATCAATAATTTTTTAAATATAAAACCATAAAAAATAATTTTATAAAACTAAACATAAAATACAATTTATTTTAAAAATTTAATAACATATTTAAGTCTTTACTGATAAATTACATAACATATTAGTCAAAGGATAAAGTTAGTTGATTATAATCTAGTTTAGATAAACTTTTGTAAAATTATTTTAAAAATATAATTAAAATTATTCTCATAAGTTAAAATTATCTTACATTCTGATTTTTTAAAACAAATTAATTAATTTATACAAAACATGAGTTGCATGAATTAATTTTAATTTATAAAAAATGATTTATTTAATCTTTTTTTATTACAAGTATTCTAGAAAAATTCACCAAATTGAAGCTATATCATATACAATATGTGATGGTCTTAGTAAAACAGGCGCTTGCAATGCCCCAGCCATATACGGTTCTAATTAAGGTGTACAAACACTAACACCTATAGTGGTTGATACTGTATTTTATCAAAATTTCAATTGAAAACAGCAACGAGATATGAAACTTTTAGTTTTAGAAAATATTAAAAATCCTTGAATGATATAGAACTCGTTGTTAAAACAATATGAACTTGCAAACATCTCAATATTTCAAATATAAATAGAAAGAAATTGAGTACTAATTAAAGAAAGAAAAGAAGGACATAATTCTCTTAATAGAATAATTAGTTAAAAGAAGTAGCATTAAACTAGTTTTAATATAAATGCTCATAATATATGCTTCACAAAATTAAAGGGAAAAAAACTTCTTATTTTAGAAATAAATCTTACCAAGTATATCCTATCTAAATAGCTTTTAGATAAACATATAACTATGTGAAAAAGGTAGAATTTAGATCCTCTTAAAGCCAACTTTTCTTTCCATTTTTTCCAGCAAAAATCACAACTACTTATATCAAATGGTTACTCCACTTTCGAAAATAACTCGTAATTATCATGTTTAGGTGAAAAAATCAACTTATAACAATGATTTCAAACAATAAGCGATTATTAATTTTGTCATATATAGATTTAGAAGTAATGAGTTGAAATAAAATTCTCCAAGTAACTTGAACAACCTTACACCAAGAGGATTGAATCATATAAAACTATTTAATTTTTTCTTTCGGTTTAATAAATTTGAAGAAAGGAATGCTTTATGAAGTACTTGTATAGGATTTTAAACCACTTTAGTTAAGGCAAAATTTTAATACTATGATGCTAGAATTACTATCTTTCCACATTAATTAATTATAACAAAATTCTTTTTCATAACGTTAATCTCAATTTAAGTGTCCAATTATGGGAAACATTGTCCTACACAATTAGCATTGCCTAGAAAGCTACGATGAATTAAAACCAATTTAATCATAGACTAGGTGTACTAGGCTATAAATTCCTTTTTAACAAAAATGTGTACTAGCTCACCTTTGTCCCCTTACATCAGTCCCTTATAATTAATGCTAACTTACCTTTAACAAAAATAAAGCAAAAAATCATGAATGAATGAACTAAATGGAGAAACCCGTAATCCAAACTACACAATATGAGAATCAGCAAAATATTTATCACCAATCTTCTTGGACCTTTCGTTCATAGTTTGAAGAAAAAGTAGCTCTCACAGAACTTTATGATTCTCAAGATTATTTTATGTAAGAACATAATCTTATTAAGTTTTATTTAGCATGCCCGCAGAAAATTATCAACTTTCATCACAAAATGTTGATCGTTTGTTCACTAAAATTTTGTTTAAGTATAATGTAATAAGATTTTCTGTCAAAACACAATATTCATACGATAAATTTATATTTTTTTGTTCATTATGTGAATCATATAATCATAATCCTCTTTTTACTCTTCCTATCTGTTTCTCAGTGCACCTTTTTTTCACAAAAACTATGTCCAGATACAATTTCTCTTTCCGATTTGCTTGTGATGTGAAGCATAATTTCTAAACCTCCCAGTTAATGAAAAGATTCCTTTTGCAGTAACTTATGTTTTTCATTATTTTTTATTGAGAAATATATGGCTTTTTCTGCTTTAAATGATGAGCCAACTACGATTTTCATAAATAGATCATTAATAAAAGCTTTAGAGATGTACTTTGCTTTCAACTCATAAGGTACAAAGCTTCGCTGTTCGGACAACAGAAAATTTTGCCACAATTTTCTTGTGAGTTACAGAAAACTTCATATCTATTTTTTAAAATTTAATAGTGTATCTCTCTATCTTGTTCTAGAATATAATCATTTTTTTCGATTTAAAAATTTGTCTTAAAGTAGTAACTTATTTTGACTTTCTAAATATATTTATTTGACATATTCAACACAAAATTACCAATTATAGAATGAATTTTTGTTCTTTGATTTTAATAAAATCTATAACTAATCAAAGTGAATCATTCTTTAATAAAATTGCATCCTTCTTTTTTAAATATAATAATATCACGTTACTTAGATACAATTCATGAAAAATATATATAAGATTCTTCTTTGCACCAGTCTGCTTGCAATAAATATTACAATCAGAAAGCACCATTAACGTGCAATAGATTCAGAAAAAGAAATCAATTAATTTGTATGTCTAATTATACAGAGTTACAATGATAAACTAAAAACAGAAATCCTAATTAAAAAAACAATTTAAAGATAAATACTTTGACTTTTAATAGAATAAAATAATAAAAAAGGTATTAAAATGTATAGCACTAATATTTTTCTTCAAATAATAAATTGTCATTGTATGAAAATGATTTAGGGTTATGAATTAGTTTAAGAAAATGTGAAATGAGAAAGAAAAGTAGAGTGACAGAGGTTCTCACCTAATTGATTGAAGACAGGCTGCGATGCTACCAAACAATGCTCGCCTCACCTCAGTTTCGAGACGTACCAATCCAAAACTGAAAAACACTGCAACACTGCACACACACCAGAGAGAGTTTCAATTCCTCTATTTTATTTCATCAAACTAAACCTCACACCCTCCATCAGCCGCCAATTCCACCTCCAACTCCAATGTCTCATAAATCAACACCACCCTCTCTGCACCTTCTCCACCTTTTCACTCCCCACATTTATTCATCTCCAACCTAAATCCTAAATCTATTTTATTCCCTTCACATGTGCAAAAACTGCATATTCAATGACAATAATAATAATTTTATTGAAACTTGTAATATTTATGTTATTTATATTGACCTGTTTATTATATTCTTAAAATGCACATTAAAAACATTAATTAATGAAAATAAATCATCTTTGTTAAAGACAATTCAAAGCCTCTTATATTGTAATATCATCATAATCTTAAAATTAATTATAATAAACTTTGATTTTAAAAATGTGTTTTTTCGCTAATACAAGCATACCTTGATATTTACATAATTTGACAGAAGCATCTCATTTATTTTCTGAAAGATACTTTCTATCGACCAATCAAGGAAAGAAATATAACTCAATCATACATTTTAATACTCAATTTTGCAATGAAAAATGATAAAAAAAAAAAACACTTTCAGAATTACACTCAAACTATTTTCCAATCTGTTCCTCACCTAAACCCTAAATAATTAAAAAATAACCCAACATAACTTTTAAAAAATATAAATGTGATCATATAATATCAAATGAAAAAAAATAAATTTTGCTCTTTGAATTCTGAACAGCCAATGGTAGAAGTACACAAAAACCCTGACCCATCTTTTCAACACAGCACCCCAACCAACCAAGTATCCCGCCAACGTTATTATTCCCGACTCATTAATTCGATATATATTAAATTAAAAATGAAATAACAGCAAACAATAAAACAACATAAAAAACATCGATAATGATCCATTCATCCCACTCTTTTCAATCACATCAATAGTACTCCACCGGCGGCCACTGACAGCGACGACTGCAGCTGTAGCAGGTGGTGGTAACAGTCGGCGGCGGTGGGTCTTTGCTCAGGGTTCTGCTCCATGCACCGATTCTCAAGCTCCCTAAGCATCTTCGGCACCCCACCCAACCCACACGTCCTTATCAAATACCCCACTCCCCACACATCCACCTTCACCCCATGCAACCCTCTCTCCATCTCCGGCGCGTGCCCCCCACGCTCCACCACCACCCTCTTGTTCAACTCCGGCGCCCCCGCCGCCTCCTCAAAGCCACGCACGAACCACTCGTTCTCCCTATCCATTCTTCTCACCACCTTCTCCCAATTTAAATCCCTGTGCATAAACGACAAGTCGTGTAACGCCACTAACGCTTTCGTCACGTACTTCAACGCTTCCACCAACTGTTCCCAGTTCAACGGCTTCACTCTACACCCTCTCGGCTTAAACGACAAGCTCAAATCCTTCTCCGACGAATTGAACAAAAACTCCGCATGCGGGATTCTATGGTCTAAAATCTCGTAAACCTCCTTAACCGCTGCCCATTTTCTCTTTTCCGAAAATACCCTCGTGCACGTGTTTGGCGTCAATTCCGTCATCACGCCGTTACCCGAACAAACCCTTTCAAAATCAGTGTAAGCAAAAGCCTTGTTATTGTTCATGCTAAGACAACGCTTGCCCAATAGCGCTAATAAACCACCCATTCTGAAACATGGAACCAACGATTTGAGTCTTTCCGATGGCGTAGTCAGATTCACTTCGTGTAAATCCGTACGGTTGATTATGTTTATGCCCTCTTGTGACCTACTTAAAGCACAAAACGTCACCGTATTGCCAATTGCGTAGTACCCAAGGATATAAGGGAGGTCCACGTAGGTCCATAAAATTTTTGCAACTATGGTATTTGATGGATCGGGTTGACCCTCTTTCAATTGGTCAATTTCTTCCCCTCTCCATAGGCAATAATTGTGAATGAAACCGGTTACGTTAGGCCATTGATCTTGCAACATTGTTTCCGTCGATGTTGAGGTGGGTTTTCTAATTAGCACCATTTCTTCGGGGCAGAATCTCGATATAACCCTATTGATGCAATCGTCCCATAGAGTGATGAAGGATTCTCGGCTTGACGAAGTGGGAATTGAGAGACTAGGGTTGTTTCGAATTATGGGTCCCACAACGTCGTACATTATGGCTCTGCAGTCTAAGGGTTCGGTTGTTGTTGTGAAGAACAGTTCTTTCCCTTGTGGCATGTCCTCGAACACGTCTCTTCTCAGTGGGAAGCGTAAATCTTCGGGTGGTGGCTCTTGTAAATAGCGTTTTAACTCGAATAAGGTTGGAAGTGCTTGTGGCAACGCACGTAGGAGGCAGTCCATGTAGTACTCCGTTGGGTCTCGAAAATCCAATGTTGCAATAGCTGCAGCACCAACCCAAAATAATACAATAATGAGAGTGATTTTTACTTATTATCTTATTAATCATTTTAATATCATATAAAATAAAAGTGTACATTTAATATTTTAAAATATATAAATATTGAATATTTAACGAGTGAGAGAATGGGCGTAAAGATTTTATTAGATTATTAGAATGATGCATGACAATGGATACTGTGTGTTATTGCCAAGTTGAACACATCAAATTACAGGTAGATAATAAGGGCAGTGATGAGCATTACTAAAAAGAACACTCACATCTTATGGAAAGTGCTTTGGAGGGAAGTTGAACTCTTTCAGCAAAACCTGGGAAAGAGAGATACGGACAGAGTTAGATAGAATCCTAGAATATGTAAAACAAGGTAACAAACATGGTTTAAGGAAACAAACAGGTTTGGTTTGGCACCAGAAGAAGCTGAGGCTGGAGAAGACTTTCTTCTGCCAAAAACTTTGACTTGCTGACCCAAAACGAATCTATCAACAGAGAAACCTTTCAGAGGACCATCCTCGAAAGATTCCATGGGACAAGGAACCATGGCATCATCAAAGCAAGTGAGTTCATCAGCATTCAGAAAGCTTGAAGATTGAAGCCTCACTCTCCCTCTGTGGATTTCACCTTCTTCAGCCCATAAACTCACTGATTCCTCCCATGTCATTCTTATCTTCCCAATTCTTCGGAGTTCTTTAGATGAAGAAGAACCTGAAATATCCAAGAGAGAATCTAACCCTAATAACCCCCCTCTTGAACCATGAAAGAAAGCTTCACCCCCACTCGTCATAGCCAATTGCTTTGTCCTAGCTGCAACAATGACACAGCGCAGGAATGTTAGAAAAAGTTTGCAACTTTGATTACGTTTTCATCTCTCACCTTCTAAAGCATTAGGATCAGAGAATCACAGTAAATATACGTGTACCCTATGAACCCTTCATGAATGGATCAAAACTACTGTGCATTCCATAAAAGGGAAAGTATATATAATTAAAATGAAACTAGAAAACAAAACTTTACTGTGTAGCCAAGTGCATTGAAGATCACATTTTTAATAAAGATATCATATGTTTTCCCATTTTCATGCTATCTTGAGTTTCCATGCTTCAACTACAAACCTGAGAGAGGAACCTCATCATCTTTGAAAGGTCGAGGTGGTGGTGGCAGGGCTCTCGTAGCAGCAAGAGCTGTTCTAGCTTCATCACCAGAAACAAAAGAAGAACTAACTCTTCCATGAGAGGATCTCATTCTGGATCCCATGAACTGTGAAAGCTCTTCAAAAACCTCTTCATCAAAAGAAGCTGGGAGTCTATGAAGCTTCCTCTCATAAGGTGAGAGCCTAAAATAACTCTTCCCAATTTGTTCCCTTTCACCCCCTCTTTCCCATTCATACACTTTTCTGAACTCTCCCAACATGTTATCCCATTTAGTCCCAGCAGTTTTTGCATCCCTATTAACTCCATGCCTCTTCAGAAACTCAGCAACCTCTCTATCTTTATCAGCCCTAGTTTTCCCTCTCGTGATTCCCAATTCTGAATGTTGTTCAGCTCTTGAAGAAGATGAATCAGACCCACAACCTTGATACTGTTCCTTCCAAGCCCTTGCTAACCACAACATCTCATTGGGTTTCCAAACTGGGCTCACATATTTCCCTTTTCTGAGTTGTTGGTGAACTTGCTCTACCTCAGGCTTGTTCCCTTCTTGGCCAGAACCTCCTGATAGCAAAGGCATGGGAGAGTGTGATGGAGATGAAGCAGTGTCTGATGAAGAAGCTGCAGCCGAAGGGTGTGTTTGGAGTGGTTGGGGGTTTGATGATGTATGTTGTGTGGTTGGTGAAGGGCTTGATTCTGCAGCCGGAAGCATGGCCATTTGAGACTGTTTCTGTTGTGCAGGAGGGGATGGTAGAAGCTGCTTCCATTGTCCACTGTATCTTGCTCTCTTGGGGTTCAGTGTCTCAAACTGTTGCTCAAAGGGTGAAGAACTTGCACCACTTGAAACATATAGAGGACTTGAAATGAAAGGGGATGCACCAGTTACAACAACAATTTGTGACTGTTGTTGTTGATGGTGGTGGATTGGCCTTGCTTCTGGAATGGATTCCTCACGTGGGGGTTTAGGAGATGTTGAAATCTGTTGTGTTTGTTGTTGGTGGTGATGAGATTGAGGTTGCTGCTGTTGTGGTTGCTTCTTGGTTGTGTCTCCCTTGTCACCCATTATGGACTAATGGGCCCGTTCAAAAGAAGGGTTTTTTGACAGAGGAAGGGAATTGTAGAGAGACACAAGGAAGGAACCAGAACAAATGTAGTAACAAGGAGCTATGTTTGCATTGGAGTTGAACTAGGTAGCTTGGTAATGTGTTGGCATAATGGGGGGTTTTTTGTTTTTTTCTTTTATCTTTGTTGGTGTTGTGGTTGTGACATGTTCTCAAAAGGGTTTTGAATGCGCTTGTTGGCTTGATAGATAGATGATGGCACTACTGCCATATCTTCAAAAGGGAAAGTCACAAAGTGGAGAGGATCGCAGCAAGCAAAAGCAAACATCCGAAACGATGAAAAGTAGCAACAGAAAGGAGAAAAAACTAAAAAGTCAAGAGAGTGTGTGGGAACTGCCGTGAATGAGACGGTTCGGTTTTTTTTTCTGGTTTTTATTTTATTTTTAGAATAATGATTCCTTAATGCCCACATTTTGGGTGTAGTATAAGTATAAGTAAAGGAAAGAGAAATAAAGAGAAAATTTTTTAAAAATACGATTAGAATTGATAAAACAAAAAAATAAAAAAGATGAAGATGTTGAACATACGAAAAAATTGAATGTGAAAATATAATTAATGTTATTTTAACTCTTTGATTTCAATTAAGTGTGGCAGCCCCGTTTGTAATTTTGATGTGTCATTCTTGACAAGTTGGTGAGAGGCAGAAAGAGAAGAGAGAGAGGGTGCAAGTGTATGATTAGAGAGGGGGTGTCATGATTGTACTGCTTCTGAAAAACGCGGCTCTAAGAATTTTTAGCATTGTTTGTTTTTTCTTTAATTTAATTGTCCTTTTTTGTTATACATTTATTTTGTGTTTTGGGGGTGAAGTTCATTCAATGTTTGTTATGCATTTCTGTTGTTTGGGAAATGAGAAAGAAAGAAACAAATGTTCCCGCTCAGAGCGAGGGTGTGGAGACTCAGAGTGAGTGAGTGAGTGAGGTTTTTGGTAATGTTTTGTTTTTGGGGTTTGAGAGAGGAGATGGAGACTGCACGAATCGATGGCTCTGCCTCAATGAGACTTTGCTTATGACAATTTTGGCACTGTCCTATTTTTTCTTCCTTTTTTTTTTCTTTAAATAAAATTTCTTCACCCCTTTTCTTTTCTTTTAAATTTGTTGGGCTTGGCATGTTTTTGCCTTCTCTCTGTCTCACTTCTATTTATAGGTTTTTCTTTATTTTCAAGCAAGTAGTGCTGCCTTGCTACATTTTTGGTATAATTTTGGTCTTTACTCGTTTAAATAAACGTTCCTAATCTTTCTCTCTTCTAATAAGACTAGAAAAATGGTGAGGGAGACTTAAAGTGAATAATTAAAGCACAAACCTCGCCACCCTGCTGGAAACTATGACTTTAAGACAAGTTCATGTGCTTTTTATTGCCATTCATCATTTCTTTCAATTTGATAGATTTAACAGGGTGTTCAACTTCTCTATTGCAGGGGATGACCCTTTTGATTTAATATTCTGTTTTATTTCATTGTTACAAGATAGCCTTTTGTATATTTTGTTTACTATTCAATATCTATAAATATTATAACATTTTTCATTTGATCGTTTTAAATATCACAATTTTCTCGTTTGATTCTGGTAAATATCATAAATTTCTTATTAAGGCTCCCTAAACGAGGAATTAAATAAAAAATTGTAATGCTTAAATGATTAGAAATAAATAAATAAAAGCAAATATTTTATAACAAAAGTATTTTATAGATGACTCATTTAAAAATTAACAGTGAGAAATTAAATAAAAGTTATTTTTTTTTAAAGACACAAAATTTAATTGTCAAACTTTTTACATTAAAATTTTAAGGTAAGAAAATAATGTCAATGTTTAAGACAGAAGATTTTCATGTTTAAAGAGAGCTTCTAAAATCCTACTTTAGCTAAATTTTACAGCTTATTAGCTACTATACTCCATCTTCACCCTTCCAATCCTTGGGGGTTATATATACAAATCCATTATTTGAATACTAAAATTTGACATGGTCTGTAACATTATGTGAGTATGTTTAGTATAGTTTTTGAATATATTTTTTTATAATTTGTTTTAAAACTTTTTATATACATGATCAGAACTGCACGAAAACAAATTACTAATTTTTTAATTTTATATTTTTGTAATTTTTTTAAATAATATTTTTTAGAATATTTTTTAAAAAATTCATATTTAAAATAATTAACCGTTGCATTTTATAGCAATTGGAATTGTGTTTATGATTGTGTATAATACATGGATTTGTCCTTACTATGATTTGATTGCAACATAATCTCTCCCTAACGCTGATTGTGATTAGTTGTAATTGTGTAATTGTTTTCTTTTCCTCTTCTATAATACATATCTTTTACACAATCATTTCGATTCGTTTGTCTTTGTTCTCTGATATTTAATAAGATGTGTTTCTCACATTTTTATTTAATTTGTCGTTTTCTCCTCAGGTGTTTGTTACTGTAGTGTTTCGCTAATACAAGTATATTTTATTTAGTCCCACGTTGATATAAATTTTTATTATTAAAATTATTAAAAGGTAATCATTATAATAATATTTATTATTAATTATAAAAATAAATTTTATTTTTAAATATATTAAATTTTAAAAGTAACCTAATATATTTTAAGCCTTTATTCAAAAACATTTTAATTTAATAATATTTGTGTATTGCACAAAATTTACTAATATAAAATCATCAGTTGGACTAGAAAAAAGGTCAGCCTTTCATGGAACAGTTAATCACATTTTAAATTATCATAGAAAGAAACACCTACATTCAATACAAACTAAAATCATCATTGGGTCTATTTATTGATTGAAAAATTATAAGCTGAATTACAAAAAAAAATAAAAATTAACTTTAATTAAATAATTTAAAATTATGATAAACCTGTTTGTCAACAATCTGTTAGGACAATGTTTTAGCTTTAAATATTCAATTTTATTATTTACTAGTGTCACCTATGCATCTATTAATTTAAGAATTGTTTGATTATTTATTGATGAAAAAAGTGTTATTTTATTTTTAATATTTAGAAGAAAAAATAAATATAATTTTCTTCATAATAAAATAAATCATACGCATACTATGATATGTTAATATGATAATGTTCAGAAGAAAAAAATTTACATTAAAAAAAATAGATATGAATATCTACAGCAATAGTTTTGTTAAATCAAGAAAATAAATAATAAATATGTTTGATATTTATAATTTTTTTTATTTTAAAAAATGAATCCACGCATTAGTCATTTTTAAAATAAAATATCATTTATAAACAATTTTTTTCAAAGAACATGATTTTTCTCATTAGTCAAAATTATTATTTTTTGAGACCTTTTATAGATCTAATACTAAGATCTAGTTTCATAAATTTCTAACAAAATTTTTATTGACAGAAAATTAATATAAAAATAATTAATTTTTTTATAAATTAAAAATAACTTATCTCTTTAAATATAAATTTTAAAAATAATGAATATAAATTAATTAAAACTTACACAAAATTTATTTTTTATATTATTTTATTTTCATATAAAAATTTCTCTAAAAATTTATCTAAACTAAACCTAAACAATATAAGTTAAAGTTTTTCACCAGTAAAAGTTGATCTTGGAAGAAAGAACTCAACCTAAAATAATAATTATTTTTTATCTTTGTTAATGAGATTATAAAAAATAAAAATGTATAAAATATCTTCTTTTAATCTAAATAAAAGTCTTAAATATAGAAAAATTATATCCATTCTTAAAATAAAAATTTTATTTTAATATTTAATCCCTTCGTTATTGACTTATTGTTGGACTAATAACATTTTTTTAACTCGTTAATTATTATCCAAATTTCATTATATTAATCAATAAATTAATTTATGTTTTTCGAGGGCATGCATAACTGTAATACCACACATGTCAACCTCAAACTGTGATTAACAAGATAAATTTGCCCCATCACAGCATAGGAATTTTTATTGACAGATGCAAGATTATTATTCTATAGATCACTCTTTTTGAATATTATGTGACAATACTAAAAATTTAAATTATTAACCCGAAATTCGTTTCGAAACAAAATGGCTTTTAATAACATTTTTTCAACAATATTATGCAAATAATAAATGTTAAAATATTTCTTAATCTCAGCTACCACGAAGATATCATATTAAGGTTAATTAACATCTGTTATTTAATCAGGTTAGGTCCACACTTCGAATTAATTTTCTCGAATAACCTTACGAATTGAAATTTGAAAAGAATCAGCTTCCATGGAGACTATTCAATGGAATGATGATTAGGATAATTGCTTAACTTCTTATATTTAATCTTACTTGCTGTGCCACATGTCTTTTGAGTTAGTGCGTGATCCCCTATTATGTTTATAGACATATTCAGTAGCTCCATTCATATTTTCAGAGACAGATTTTTTTTTTTTTCCATTTGTCAATATTTTTATTTATCCTTGTGATATAAAGAAAAATAAGAGGAAAAAAATAAAAAAAATATAATGAGTGATATGATAAGAGATTAAAATAAAAAATAACATGTGAAATGAAAAAAACAGATGATACGAAGTTCTTGACAAAATAATATATGAAACAGTTGCTTTAATTTATTCATTCAATCTCTTACTTTTTAATTTTAACAATTTTCATACTATTTAACAATGTTATTTGTGTTTCACAGTATGATTCTAATCCTATATTTCTACTCAGCATATTGGGGGTTTTATTTTCTCAATACTTAATTATTTGCCACACAATACTTTTGTTCACTAAATGGGTACATTTCTTTGTACGTTACATATACTCATTGGTTTTGAAGTTTCTAATATGTTTTGTTCAATTTAACTAAAACAATATAATCATTTACTTTTGAAAAACTTATAAAAGTTAATAGAAATAAATATTTTTAAAAAAAATTAAATTTTATCAAGGACAAATTATATTTACACTCTCAAGGTTTAACAAAATTTCATG